CTGAAAATAAAAAAAATAAATGACCATTTTAATTTCAGCTTAAAGTGCAGAGGGGTTTTATTTATCTTGACAACATACATTTTAATTACACATTTATTTACGCACACAAATCAAAGCGCTACCTATTAAGAGTCACATATTTAATCCCTTTTAATGAACTTAAGCATTTTATTATTAACTTATGTATTTAAAGCGTCTTCTAAACTTTTATTTTTTTTTTTTTTTAGAAGATTAACCATTCATCAAGTAGCTTACTGTTTATATATATATATATATTTCTACGTTGTTGTATTTTTTCCGTTCCTTCTATAAATTTCCCAGTGCTGCTTGGTACCTTTTGGAAACTTTCCTCTGCGTAACTGCGCGCGTCTCTCCGCACATTCCCCCAGGCCCCGCAGAGAGACCGGACAGCCCGGGCCCTCTCCTGTCATCGGTCGGCTTCCTCTCCTCCTTGCACCAAGATTTAGACTAATATTTAGACAGGATAGGGTTTTATAAGTGCAGTGCGCCACACAGTCCACGCCACGGGGTAAGAATGTGAAATTGTTGATTTTCTGATTAGCAGGAGAAGCTGTGGCGCGTTAATAATAACTTTATCAGCATCTCTGGAATAGAAAGCGGCTCTTTACAATTAAGCCTGGACACGTGGACATCCTCTGTTAATAGCACATCATGGGAGCCGCTGTTTTATTGCAGAGGGAAGAGAGGCGCGCGCTGCGCAAAGGTGACTCAGACCTATCTGTGTTTACCAATAAGAACTAAAAATGGCTGCCAGTGAGCCTTGACGCCAGATCATCTGTGCCAGTTTAATGAAGCAGAATTTTTTTTAGGTTTGCTTTTGTGCCGTGTTCCTACAACGGGACGCGCAAGACCACACAGGCCTCCCGTTCATGAAGATGCCAGAGATGAACAAAAGACTGCAGGGGAACGAACAGACCTGCTATCCTGCATGGGGAGACGTAATTATAACCTAAGCGTGTTAGGACCCATGATTTACAGCTACGTTTGTAATAACACTGATTTATCTTGTGGCAAAAGAAGTTATTCGGTGCGTAAAAACTAGAAAATTATTTTTCTCTGTATATATTATTTAAATATCCTTTTTTTTCATAGAATAATAATCATTACTATTCCTGTTATTATTATTATAATACAGAATCGTTGCCAATGTAAACCTCTATCTAAAAACATTATTTTTGCTTTCTAACTATTGGCTCATTATTGCCTCTCTGCGCAGTTTGATAGAAGAGAAGAAATCTGCAGGAGAAAACTTTAAAAGCTCCTCTATTTTCTAATAAGTAAATCTCCCATAAAGATTCACAGCATCCTTGCTTTTCCTGTAACTCTATTTTTTCTATAACAGTTCACACAGCAAAAAATAGAAACATAAATAGGTCAATGTTTCTTTAAATAAGTGCATTTTGTCTTAAACTGAGGAGGTAAGTGAGACACTTTGCCAATTGAACAAGACAATTGACATTTAAAATAAGAAAAAGTAACTGGATTGTCTTATTACAAGCGCATCTATAATTATCTTATTTTAAGAAAATACTCATTCTATTTGCAAATCATCTTATTTACATACTAGAATTAAGGGTAAATAAAGTTGAAATAAGAATTTTTTTTTATTATTATTATTTTTTGCATTGCATTGCATTGCATTGCAT